GGCGTCTTCTTACGCTAAAATCACGGAAGATCTGCAAACCCCCTACTGAGGTGGCGTCTTATTGCGCTTAAAATTGCGGAGAATTTGCAAACCCCTATAGAGGAGCGCCGTGTCGCTAGGAGAGCAACTAGGAATAAACAGTTCACGGGTGCGGGATCCGACAGTTCTCAATTTCTCTAGCCATTCAACTCACTCTATATACAATAATTGCTCCTTATATTTCTTCTCTTTCACTACAGAGCTGCATTATTTGCCATCTTGGCCATTTCGAGTTGAGGAGTATTTGAGATGTCTGCATTGGACACCGAATCACTAAACTCAGGACTCGAAGCAGCTAACCCTAGCTACGATGGAATCTTAGTTACGTTTGAGATCGTGATAAGGCTCTCTATGGTATCTCTGAAACCCATGACTTACTATTACTTGATACTACCTTGGAGTGTATTCGATTTGATATCGATGAGCTTAATCGAATACCTATAATCAACCAGTGGTGGCAGTCTTGTTTCGTGCCGAAGGACGCCATCGAGCGACACAATTCCGACTGGGTCCAAATTTCTTCAGTTCCCGGAGTATTCATCGTTCGGAAGTGCTGTAACGGGCAATTCTATGAAATCGCTGTTTGTAGATCCTACATCCCCTGGCTTCGCGATCACAAATTTGAGTTCCAACCCGAACTTGATTTCGACCGGACGAAGATAGCAGACGCGGAAGTACAGGTGTATGGCAAGTTGAGAGCGACAGAGAGATCAGAAGCTTCCTTTCTTAAAAATGCCACCGAGGCAATATCGTCTACGCGTGGCCAGGAACTTGGGGTTATACTATCGCCACATCGCCCCATCAAAGCTGGAGATACCGCTTGAATGGGCTATCTTGAACCACGACGTACTGGTAAGCTCACTGCTCCTTTAGTGACGTATAGTAATGCTCATCTTGATTAGGATTCTGATCCTCAGGTCCGAAAGCGATTTGCCAAATCGCTTCAGTTCATCAGCCTCAATTTGGTTAGTGACTACAGCACCCCCCCTATCCTCGAACTTCTTGGAAAGGACGAGTATGAATCACTCCAAGAATTTCGGAGAGACTATACAGATCTCCTCAGATCTGTCCAGGCATATCCTCAACAGATCGCAGAACTCCACGTTATTTCAGTTTTCCGATGCTTGCTCGTATTTTCCGGCGGGAGGGATGATTTACGGCAACGGAAACTTGACCCTACGATCTCAGCTAATACTAATGCCAACCTATATTCTTCTCTTGTTGGCATTTCCGGGTCGGATAGTTTTGGATCTGTCAACATGCAAGCAATGCTAGACGTTCTGTCACAATCCAAGGTCTTCGCCGATGACGATATTTGCTCGTTGAACATTACGCGCTTGACTAGTCAAATGGTAGCCTCCCTTCCTATCGGCTCCACATAAGGATACTCGGTATAGAATCTAAGTACCAGATCTAGCCAATGCTAACTCATCCCAGGATCTTCCAACTGACGTACTCTGCGACTTTGGCAAAGCGCTGGTTGATAAAATCCACGGAGATGCGTCTATACCTTTGAACTACCTTTGAACTACACAGAGTTGGAACTACTACCCTATGGTAATACTTATGGGCTGCTTTCTCAGGAGTTGTAATTTCCTTGAGGTACGATCAGACTCGTCTAGTTATTCTCTCGTAGCTGAAACTGTTGCTAGTGCTCTTCGAGCTCTTGAGCCGTCCTTGGCTTTGAAGGCACTCCTTCTTTCGACCTGTGGGGAGTTCTGCGCCCTATCCAACGAATATATGCGTCTACGTCGCTCTACCCAGTTGTTAAACCTATGGGCGCTCTTGGCTCATGCTCTGTGTTTTCTGAAGTTCAGTATCATCTGTATCGTCCTTATGGGTTGGTCGATCGAGATTAGTGATTTTCCGGACTCATCCGCCTTGGTTAGTCAGAAGGTCTATTCTCTTGCTAGATTGGGCTAAAATTGAATACAGCTCTCCATACCAAGTCTTTGTGCCACTCAGGCTATCTCTCAGACTCTTGCTCTAATGGGGTGCAGGACTTGGAAAAGGCAATTGACCTCGACATAGGCCGTTGGCTTTGACTCTTGGGATGGGGATTCGCCTATGGAGGCCTGATATCCAGGGCAGCTTTTCTTCGCTTTCCGGCATTGCATACAGTCCGGTTTCCCTTCATCGCAGCCAAGGAAGTACCTTGCCTTGGAAACGGAAAAATTAGTTAATTCTCACGTGATATCAAAACTTTATTTCCACGATCCCCCTATTGCGTGAAATCTGGTGAGAGCGAGAAGAACGACGGCAGAGCGCGAAGAACACATGACTGCAGCTAGCACGGCTTTCATACTTTGCCTCAGGGACCGGCCAAGCTTGCGCTGACTCGTTCGCTGTACGACAGCCTGGAGACGTCCATTGGTACTCACCAAGGAATAAGAAGGAAAGGTGAAAAGAAAGCCAAGACGGGTCTGAAACAACCACTAGCGCAATGTCTGTTGTCAAGGATGGATGCGTAGTGAGAGCGCGGCCCACGGCAGAGCTCTCACGCTTGGTTGAGCTAGCTGCAAGTGATATTCGGAACGAGATGTCCAATTCACAAGGGGAGCTTATATCCAAGCTGCGGTATACGCAAAGCTGCAGAGATGTCCAAAGGGAATTCACGGATTCTTACCAGAACACGGTATGCGTCCTAAGCTCTGTGGGCGAAGAGAAACTGATTTCACGTCCTATAGATCCGACCCGAGTCTGTCACAGCAACGATCTTCCACCCACATAATATACAGACTCGGTGGATCCCTGAAGTCTTCCTCCTAAAAGACGGCGCGTTCGAAATTCCTAGACATTCTGTCGCTGTTGCCATACCTCTAATCAACGATGGACATCCGACCATAGAGTACCACGACTACAAAGATGGGAGTATATCTCAAATCGAGTGGACGGTAGGGTCTGTGATATTCCTAGTTGGAGATGCATCAGTGGCGTTGGATGGACCTGGAGCAACAGGATTCATTCTTTTATTATTCGGTCTACGCCAAAATGCATGATAGCTCGTGACCCTGGATTCACTATTAATTTGTTTGCCCATCGCGGAATCCGCATGAGGGACACTCACCCAGCTAGGAGCCCGTTTCTCAATTTGCATTATATTTAGCAATGGAACTCTGACGAGTCTTTTGTGGGAGAAAGCCATTCTCATCCCGATTGTGCATCTTCGCAGGAAGCGATGGATAGAAATCCCTTGTTTAAGAAGACGCTTTGGTAATAGGCAGTAGTCGGGTCTAAATCTAGGCCATTTGCAAGCATCGAGCATTTCCAGGATGAGTTGGCGGGCGAGATGTCGAGATTGTGGTATGAAGCTCTTCGATTGTAAATGCTCGATGAGCAAGTCTGTGTCTTTGGATGATAATTTCGCTCTGCTCTGTCATTTAGTTACTGAGGGTGCGCTGGAGTGGTAGGGAGGGTAGCTTACATCAAATCGATATTGCAAAGGTATAGAATGGCTTCAGGTAATGCCTCGTATACTTGCCATAATCTCGACCTCTTAATGGTATCAGCACCTTGTTCGCTAGCCGAAAGCCCAGAAGCTCGTGCGATAGTGCTGCGGGCTTCATCCAAACGACTTCTCCCGCGAGAGAGCTTCTCATGCGGGCCGTTTAGCGTGATGTCTTTTTCGATCCATGAGACTGTTAAATGCACGGCGATCTCGTCATGCTTTCGTGGGCCGTTGCGCAAGACTGAGTATAGCCTTTCAACTGATTGGGTTGTTATTTCCTTCGCGGTTGTAGTCGCGAGGCTCAAATGATAGAGCAGTGGGTTGAAATCGTGTGATCGCACCTCTGAGAATCCTTTGCGGGCTGCATCCAGACTTCTTTGTCGATAGGCAGCTTTTCTTATTCGAGCGGCAGCTTTGGGCCCATCAACGTTGAACTGAGTCTGGGCACAGGGAGAAGGGAGCTTCATCGGCACGAGGGACATGTTGCTTGTTGGAGGGGGACTCTCATGCCTGGCTGGAGTCATAACTGATGTGCCTAAGTGTAAACGAGATGCGGACATGGAAGGCGGAGGAGATCTGCGTCGCTCGCCATTCTATCCATGGCAAGTATAAATGAGATGCAATATTTGAAATCCTGCTGCATGAAACCAGGGATCTGGATATTGACGGAGGTAAGCCACTTCCCCGACAGGACGCTACTCGATTTAATCCCTGATTTCAGTAAGAACAGTACATTATTGGTTGCGTGAGGCTCTAGTGGCGTCTGCCAAAACCCTTGTGCAACCAATGTGACTATCCAGGAGGACCACACAATCCTTGCTGACGTGTCATGCCGCTTCCCTAGGGTTATCTCGAGCGCATTTATGCAGCACAACAGTCTCGGCTGAGGTCGACTCAGCCTGCGGCATAAGTACGGTTCTAATATTCATTCTCTCCTTGTTGGTCGCTTCGGATGGGCGATCCTGTAGGAGCCTCACTTGGAGTACGCCCAAGAGGAAGGCAACTCATTTTGCGAACTACTTTGACATTGTAATAAGTGTATAAAGTCCCCATCTTGTCCTGGCCAAAGAAACTTTGAAAATTCCGCACACTTCCGTTGAACCACCTCCCAGTACTGCAATCGTAGCCTGTGCCGGCTTTCTCCTCGCGCCACATCTCTTCCTGGTCTAGCCCAACTCCCTTTACCCCTTTACCGAAGCTTCTTATACCATTCCGGGACAATGGTGGGTGCGCGACAATATCCGCATTGCTCGTCCAATCTAAATCACATCAGATAGTATAAAATGTAGACACAAATTTACGTTTACTTGAACTCAATGGCCACAACTGAGGGGGGGCATCGTATGTGGGTATTCTCGTAATTCGTACACCATGCTCTGACAGTGTAACGGACGTGTCCACACCGATACTCGACTCGTGTGTAGTTGCACATTTTCTGGGAAGTGAGAGCGTTCGTCTTGGTTAAGGAAGTACTGTGTTACCCTGTGCGGGTCTAGGGAGAATCCTACGAGATCTTATGTTGCTTTCGGGCATGCTGCTGTTGCAACTGAAATTCGGCAGTAATCAGCTGAGGGGTGCTCAGCATTCCCTACCGGTATGAACGTTCTTGATAGCGTGTCTCCCGCAATGCAACCCAGACACATGGGCACAGTGCTGGGACATAGTGAATAGTTAAAGAACATCGAATCGGATCTTTCCCATGTGAGAGCCTATGACAAAGTCGAGGTGCGACCCCCGGCGGCCAACTGCTTCAGCGCTAAGGCCTTTCCCCTTCTTGCACCCTTTCTCCCTCTTACCTGCCCCTTCTCTTCCACCTCACCTTTCTTTCCTCAAACTACTCGACACAAACTAAAACGACGATGGGTATTAAACGCCAGGCACATATCACTGCCCGTGATATATCGCTCACCATGGACTCCCTGAAGCAGAGTCGTTCGATTCCCCAGAAATACCATTTAAAGCTTCAAATGCGCATGCGCCTATCTTTTAAAGGCCCCGAATCCAATGCCAAATCGTATGTATGTGGACATAACGCGTATACGACTGTTCGAGAAGCATCATCTTTCCTTTTCCTTGCGTTTGCGATCCGAATGTCACCCCGAGGTTGTTACGATTCTCCAGCGAAGGCACCCGAGTTTGCCCGCGACAATCTTAAAAAGAAAACATTTGTTCTCAACGAAGATAGTATCAACATACTAGAACAATGGGCTTCTGTTGATCAGTATAAGTCGGAGAGAGAGTTTATCGAATTCATCACAGACATCCGCGGTTATAAGCCAAACATCTGGAGTCTGGAGATGCCTTTCACTGCAGATTGTAAGTTATATCACTTTCGATCATGCCAAGCGAATCTTAACAGTCTCAACTTTCAGTGGAAAAACTAGTACAAAAATACGTATTCACAGATTCCAAAGCTAGCGACCTCGCAGGGCTCATGCATTCAGTTCCTGACCTGTTGATTCCAGCCGTCGAGGGCAGCATACTGTGGCAAGAAGAAAGGAAACTCAAACGCGAAACGACTGGCTGTATAGGTATAACTATGACCGAAGGCCCGCGCGATGGCAGCCTAACATTTTGGGTGGCGAAGGAAAAACTACATGGCCTTCGACAGCACTTCAACCTCAAGCAGCCTCAAACATGACATGTGCAGCCCCAATCACTTCAACTTTGTGGCCCGCAGGCACAATATGAGAGAAGTTCTCTTCTTTGCGCCATTCTTGATACTCCTGCGGCCCATACACTCGAATATATTGGACGGCGGAAGCAGTGATCTTTCGAGCGGAAATAGTCGCCGGGAAAATATTGCTGATAATGTCCTCAGGGGTCCCGCTGATTGCATCGTCTCCCTGGTTTTCAAAAGTTACATCTTGTGCGGGTTGGGAAACGGGGATGCTTACTTCCGCCATGATTCGGGGGATATTGGTGATCTGTTTTGATGCGTATCGGCGCTTGGGGCTATACGCTATGTCAAAATTAATCTCTCATCAATATAAAGTGACAGACATTTCGTACTGGGAATAAATGCTTTTGTGATGCAGATAGTTGCGCTCTTTTGACGCAGCAGAAAAGAATCACCCAAGAGTGGGGCGAAGATGCGGGGCAATTACCATGTGACAATACCATCGCTGGCCTTGAGTTTTCGTGGGCGGCAACGGGTTTTTATACACCCTATCGGTTTGTCAATATTGTGAGGCTCATTTGGAAATGAAAACTTTTGCCTTGTAGGTGTCGTGGATCCAATAGTCAAAGGTTATTCAATGAAGGGGGGCGAGGCTAGGCGAAACAACCGGGGTGCCAAGTAGTACGGCTTCAAGCATATCACCACAGTAGCATTAAGATTCTAATCAAAGACAGGTATAGTAAAATCACCGATCAATATGTAGAGAAATAAATTCCAGCATCTCGCCAACGTTGTTGCGTTATGTCCCCCCACACAATAGCCTCTGCTTTGACAACTTCCGGCTCCTTACCATAGAAGAATCCTACTACCATGACGAAAAGCTTCGAAAAACTGAAAGCCCACATTTCAATCTAAGGGCTAACGTCAACTATATGTCACAGATCAGATAAGGGCAAGAAGACTTACTTCATTGATATCGAGGACATAATGCACCCGATGCTTTACACTTATAGCAATCATCGCCGCAACTCCACCTGCTATGGGTGGGATGGTTGCTTTTGCAACCGAATAATGTGATTTATGTGGATTCCAGAAGCGGATGCGAACATATGGTGCGGCAAGCGCAAACCAAAATAGACCGAGAGTTCTCTGACCATAAAACCCCCAATTGAAGGAGCCGGGTTTGTCATGAAGGACACTAAAAAGATGTTAGCATCCAATAGATGCAGCGAATCCCAAAGCAAGTTACCCTGAGATTTGAAGTATGAAGAAAATAACAGAGAGAGTAAGCCAGGAAATGATCAATGGGACAACATGGAGTGTGGATATAAGTTTTTTTCTATCATCCAAGCGAACTCTGAAAGTCTAGAAGCCATCAGTAAGTCAAAAGCACATATGAAGTGGCTGTCACCTCTCGGAGCATCACTAAAAGCTGAGGAAGCCACTGAGATGCCAACAAAGCACAGGTCATGCTTCTGTCTACCATGAATTAGTATATTGACCTGACCAGAATATATGAGACATACCTGGGTATTGGACTTTCAAAAAGAAAAATATAGGAAGAAGAAAAGTCGCAAGCACAGGAAGCGCAAGAAGTATTCGAACTGTTTGAGTGTCTTCCCAAAGTTGTGAAGGATAAATTCGAGATGGTGTTACTGTCAAGAGGGATTCCACTACAACCAAAAGGCCAAATATAAACTGAAGTGCTGTGTCGCCGACCCTCGAGCCAAATTCGATAGGTGCCATAATGCGATTAGTATGATTATTGAAAAGGCATAAGGAGTAAATCAGTGTTGAAAGGAATGGTACTTGGTCTTTCATATACACAACTCTCAAATGAGCGTCCGATAGGTCCCGATCCATAGGCTGCTGGGTTCCCTCCAAAATAGTGACCCTATGCCCCCAGAAGTGACCCTGCTAGCGCCACTGGGTTCTTTCCAAAAGAGTGACCCTATGCCCCCAGAAGTGACCCTGCTAGCGCCACTGGGTACCCTCAAACATGCATCAGAGCTAGGCGGGTCTCTTCAACACGCTAGAGACGCTGGAAAGGTAATCCTTAAAAATGATAAGGATTGGGAAAGCTGTTAATCACATCTCAAGTATCATCCGTTTCATTAATTTTCCTGCGACAATCGCCAAGGATCAAAGTCAAATCGAACTTCCCGATTTGGTATCCTTCTATTATTGGCCTATAGCTCGGTTTCTTTTTCAGTTCGTGGCCTTCTTTTAACTCAAACTCCATAAACAAACATGCATACACATATAATAAAAATATGTCACGTCTCTTTCTTTACATGTCCCATCTCCCGTGGACTGTCTTGCTACAAGAAAAGTCGCAACGAGGCCATTTTTTTTGGTCTGCTTTCTCTCTGCAGGTTGGAATTCGAGCCTTCTACAGAGTGACGATGTCCCTCATGGTTACTCCTAATATATACGCTCCGAGTCAGGAGAGTCGATGGGCACTTACTAGTCAAGAGCTGACAACCTTCCCGGAGCCCAATTCCATGTATGTTTGACATCCCTTTGAACCTTATGCTGGAAGTCCCATAAGCCCACTCTCCTGCCTCCTTTTGGCTCATAGAGTAGCCCTATAGGACTGTTGCCAAACTGAAGGAAAGATCACATGAGCTTCACACTAACCCGAAAGCTAGATCTAACGGACTTCATCACTGCCGCAATTGGAATGCCGATGCCCACGTAAAGGCGCTGCATGAAGATCTGATCTTCCATCCAAGGGGAATGACAACGACGAGCGAAAGCCCACCTGGTTCCTCATTGGTAGGATACCCGTACCAGTCCCAGCAACCCAAGGAATATTGGATGCCATTCCAGCTAGGGCCCGAAGTTGGCGTTCTATCACAGAATTCTGAACTGGAAGTTAATAACGAACCTTATAATAACGTTCCAGGTCCTCTTAATACTCAGACATGGTTTTCAACTATAACCCCACCAAATCATTGGGATGCTCGCCCTGTGCCTTTTTCCACTCCCACTCCTTATCAAAACATCCAACCGGAACTGCATCTCAATATTATAGAGGCTGAGATACCACCTGCCACACAGGTGCAATCCACCTTGGCACCCATCAATATCGTCTCGACGGCATCAAGCTGTGTTCCTATAAGCTATTCATCTCCTCAGGCAGCTGCTACTTACATGCCAAACAACAATAATGCCTGCTACTCGAACGAATTAGAGAGTCAAGTATATAGTGCAGCCGGTGTAACAATGGATAGAGACTCTGAAAACATCCCGAGAAACAGTGTTCCTTTCATGGGGCGATGTGAAGATCTAATGCTCAGCGGCGGGCTGATGAGTAGTGAGTGTCAAACCTGGAGTGACTGGAACCAACCCTGCTCAAACCTTGCATCTTTTACTCCGCATGGAGAGCACAACGTTAACAAATACAGGAAAGCTTCCTTGGGTGAAATCGGATCAGAGAGTTTCGCGCAAAGCGAAAAATACTCAAACCCAGAAAGTAGTAAGTGGGCCATTTATAAGTCGGGAATCCACTCTCAGGAGTTCAAACTGCCCCGGTCTTTTTCCTATCGGACAAATGAGGCATACAATGGGAAGAGGGGGAAAGATGGAAATTTTAATTGCCCCTGGATGATAACCGGATACTGCCACCACACACCAAGTCCCAATCGTGGTGAATTACAGTAAGGAGCCCACTTTTCACCCCAACCCTGCTAAACTTCTATGCAGCAAAGCGGTTGACGATCACCTGTCTCCTTACTTCTGTTGTTCGCAGAGATGGCAACGGTACGATAAACTGTGGGATCACTACCAAGTTAGTCATAGGCTATACG